TCACTATGATCTTATTTACAAAACATCTTTGTTTCACCAGAAATCCCTACAGTTATCTAGTTATTAACATGGTGACTGAAGCCCAAAAAGATTATGCAGCAGCCCAATTCACGGCTGACTTCCTGTTCAGAGCCCCTGCTGCCTCTGGAAATGCAGCTGGACTGTTTACAGGGGTCCTGGTTACCTGGGTGGCAGCTTTCCCTAGCCTCTGAAACCTTTATAGATCAGTAAGAGAAAAGCTGCCACTCTTCAGCATCTCAGGCCCTTCCCTACTCCCAAAGCCTGTCATTATAAACCCACAGATCTAAGTTCTCATTCCCCGTGGAGTTGAAGACAACCAGCAGGTGAGATAAAAGCATGTCGGGCACTGTGGCAGGACAGGAAGGGAGACGGTTGCTGGTTGGTCTGCCTTCTGTCTTGTACTCCCTACTCCCAGAAATAGCACTCCTTTTCCACAGTTCTAGTGAGGCTGGAATCACTGTACTCAAGCCACCTATTGGCCACAGATTGAGGTGGACATATGATGATCTGATCAATTAAAGAACTTACCCCTCTGGCCAGAGGTCTACAAGAGAGGATTCAGAATCATAACAGAACCAATTAAGAGTCTATTCCTGGAGTTTATGCACAAGAGCTAGAGAAATCAGCTCAGAGTGTGGATTTCCCGGTTATATTAATTTATATTAAGAAACTATCACTTGCAACTCAAAGAATTCAGACCCACACAGAATACCTTTTCTCATTCCATCTGCCTAACCACCTTCTAAGGTTGCTACTACTCTATTTTAGAAGTGAAGAAATTGAAGTTAAGTAACTTACCAAGTTCATACAAGTTGTAAGAGGTACTCAAATTCTGTCTCTGCTCCAAGTCCCATTTCCTATTAGCCCAAGAAGAAATTGCCACTCAAAAGCAACGGACTTTTTTATTTATAAATTATAGTGGATATTTAAGGGAGGAGGGTGAAATAACATCAACCTGGGTTAAAGGACCTGGCTTCAACTTCTGGCTGTGCTCCAGGACCTCAGCTGTGTAACTTTGGGCCAGTCATTTTACTTCCTTACCTGAGTGTTAGCCTTCACATCTATAAAAGGATAAGCCTGGACAAGATAAACTCGAGGTTCTTCCTTTTTTAATTTTTTTTTTTTGGGGGGTGTGCTATACTAGAAATTGAACCTCGGGCCTCATGCATGCTGTGGGAGCACTCTACCACTCTACCTCCCCAGCCCTTAAGATCTTTTGAAGGTTTTGTTTTGTTAGTCCATGGTTCTGCTTTAGTCATACAATTAAGTTTTAACCATATGTCAAGTAAGATGCCAGGCAGATTGCAATTGAATATCAAGTCCAACAGTTGGTAATGGCTCCTGGGACACAAAGTCAAAGGACCCACTGGGAAATGAGCACTGACTTATGTGGCCACTGGGGGGGAGAGAGAGGAACAATGGCACCCTCACCACACACATGCCAAGGCTGACAGAGTTTCACCATGGCACAAAAACGCCTTTCTGAGTACACCCAGTACTTCTGCTCCACCACAGGTGCTGTCTGCACCTACACAGGATTCACTCACTCCTTAAGGCACTTTCTTGGCTTTCCTTCACAAGCAAGCAACGAAAGTACAAGACAGCTAAGTGGTTTTGCAGACTACAGCTTGGAGCCACTGAAGAAAATATGTCTACACATCCTACATGAGAGGAGGGAGTTAGTGTTGAGAACAAGAAGAATCAGTATCCTTCCTTATATTCATAATCTCATGAGATCCCAATAATGAGCTTGTGGTTTAAGTACAGTAAAATCAAGCCCTTTTTATAGAAGTGAGACTCAGATAGTACAGCCCAAATTCACCCATATCTAAGTAGCAGAATCCAGATTTGAATCTAAGCCCCAATTCTATTTGTAATCCCATGGTCTTCATCAGTCCCATGCTCCGAGTGAGTTAACTAATCAACTCTCAGTGCAAACTGGTATATTCATCATTACACAGAGTTGTTCAAATAATATAAGTTCCTCCCCCCAAATCTGAAATGCCATTACTGTTGGTTTGTAATTTAATGGGCTGGCATGCATTTCAGTCCCAATTACTGATATAAATTATGCAAAACATAAATTAAATTTATATTAGCAAATTTAGCAAAACTGAACATAAAAGTTAAATATTTAAAGGAATGATGGAGAAGAAACCAGCCTGAGGGAGGGAAAAAGATCTAATTTCAACACATATGTTAAACTTAATATACTTTCTACAAGGATTCAGTGAGATGGAAATCTGACATCAGGCATGTTTTGTCCAAAATGAGGAATAGAAGAACTGAAACTGAAGTAGGTAAAATGTATCCTAGAAATAACAGCAATGCTTCAAGGAAGGCAGTTAGCAAAGTGCATTATTATAACTTGCTACATTTCCTTATGTCTGACAATGAAGCTAAACCCAAAATAGAGTATGTCCTCCTAGTACCAACCAGACTTTGTGTGTGTGTATATGTGTGTATATGTGTGTATATGTGTGTGTGTGTGTGTGTGTTTGTGGTACTAGGGATTGAACCCAGGGCCTTGCGCATGTAAGGCAAGCACTCTACCAACTAAGCTATATCCCCAGCCCCCAACCAGACTTTTATGTGTAGGTAATCCAGTTCAAACAAAATGCCAACCACACCTTGACACACCAGACTGTGGTGAAAGCACAGGACTCCATCACTGACTCTCTACTGTAAGTTTCACAAGGAAAACAGGGAAGAGCTGCAAGAAGAGTAATGCCCAAAACAGCTACAATATCAAATCGAAATTCCTCAAGAGAATGCAAGTTTTTCCCATGTCAAAAAGGGATGTGGCTGCATTTAATTCAGCCCATGTCCCTACTTACAGAATCTCAAGCCTTGACATTCTCCCACTTCATTAAATAAAAGAACTGAAACTTTCAGGGACACGCAGTCTAACCCTGTGAACAGGTACAAAATTCTCAAATATTTCTGACAAGCAGCCATCCTTCTGTATAATTTCCTCCAGGGACAGGGAATTCCAGCACTCAGTACCATGTCACTATCCCTGAGGCCTGTTAACTCAAAATAATCTCAAGCACACTCTCACCATTCAGGGAAAGGTCCAAAAGGTCACAGGGCTCTCCACAGGGCTCACCAAGCAAACTGCGCTTCTCACCTCTGTAGTTCCCAGTTCTATACCTGATCAGGACCCGAAAACAGTGCAGTATTAATAAACCAGTTTTTTTCAGAAAGGACCTTCCAAAAGCCAAAACTGTGATCTTCATACCACAGTTCCATTAAAGGAACTCAGGAACAGCCTGGGCCAAACTGAGAGTCAAAATGCTGTCCTCTCATTTCAACCTGGGAAGTTCCCCTTTGAGATGTCTATTGTTATCTCTCTTTCTCTCTCTCTCTCTTGCACATAATCAATGCAGTTTTGTAAGTCTTTTGTTTAAAGCGGAAGAAAAAATAGGAAGGGACCATCTTATAGATAAATAAACTAGGATCATACAAGTTGCTTAATAATATCCTACAGCTAATAGTTGCTGGGTTAAGACAAAAATCTGGTCCATTGGGCCTTCTCCTGTGCTTACATGGACCATACAACTCTCACTGACCTTAGGACAAGGCACAAACTCCACAGAGTGATCTCCAAGATCCATCAAGATGTCTTCCCCCCCCCCCACCAACTGCCTGCTACTCCACTCCAATTTATCTAAATGTGCCAAATTCGACTCACATTCAAATGTTTATCAAACTAACTTAGGTTAGCCTACCTCACACCTTTGTGCATACTACTCTCTTAGCCCAAGATGCCCTTCCCCACTTTATCTGCACTGGAACCAACAATTCCTCTCCTAGATTTTGTTTCAGATATCATTGCCCCTATAAAAACTTCCCAGGTTCTCAGACAGAACTGACACTTTCTTCTTTGTGCCCTCCACAACACCTGTAAGGCTTGTTGCACCTGTTTTGTTTATATGGCTGTGTCCTCCATTGATCATTTTATATCATACTACTCTAAGATGGTACTAGTCTAGTTCAGAAGTAGATGTGGAACAGATTTTTATTGATGGACAGTATTTATTTACCTGGTCCAATCCCCCATGTGATCATTGAACATCCTTTCAAAAACGCCATTGATTTGTGCTAACATATATTTTAAAAAGTGAGTGCCCCAAAGTGCCAAGCATTGGACTATGTATCAAGCAGAGGTGAATGTGGAATTATATTGTGGAATTAATGAACCTTAAACTTCAGAGATCCCTCACTTGTACCTTGCAAAATTATGGACCTTTTTGTGTGATTCTGTATTTTTATTTATTAAAGAAGGAAGGCAGAACTGTATAAGCTTTAGACCCCACAAAAACTAGAACCAACCTTGGTGCCAAAGATACTAAACTATATAAGGCAAACATTATCTTTCCCCTTACGGAGTTTCTGGTTTAGTGGGGAAAACAGACAACCGTTTGTCCATTCATTCATTCAAGGAACGTTTCCTAAGCAATGCCATGAGTCATGTGTCTGAGATGAAGCCAACACGTCCCTGCCCTGAAGGAGGAGGTTCCTGCTGTCAGGAAGAACGAAACCCTGCTGGGTCCAGGGACAGACAGCAGTTTAGAGGACTGGGTAACAGTGTCACCATTCTAAACTAGTCTCAGGAGGTGCTTGGTCCTGCCCCGAGGGAGGCAAAGGGAAGGGAAAGTGCAGCTGGAGTGGGTCGGGGAGGAGGCAGACAAGCCGACCGAAGAGGCCGCACGGAAAGTCAGCGCTGTGGGACGTGTCGCGGCTCAGGTCTCCGGGAATGGCGAGCTCACCGCACCGAGGAACCCGGGAACCTGGCGGGTTCCCAGGGCTCCCAGACCGGCCTCCCCTTCCTCAAACAAGTCTGCCCTCCGGGCCACCGCCCTGACCCCGGGACCGCGTCCTCGCACCACGCCCACGCGGCCGGGTCTGCAGCGGGCCCGGGGTCCCGGTAGCCGTCCGCCCGCTCTCGCCCGCCGTCGGCGTAACCACCGGCTCACCACTTCGCGGGCGCGGCTGGAGAAGTCGCCCTTGGGCCGGGGGCTCCGACGGAACAGCTCGTCGCGGCTGCCCTCGGGCCCGCCGCCCACCGCCACTCCCAACGCCTTGTTCCGCGTCTTCACGGTCTTGACGCTCGCCCGGAACAGCAGGGTGATGTCCACCGCCATGGTGACCCGCACCCGCGGCCCCACACCGGCCGGCCCACGTCAGCAGCCGGCGACCGCAGCGACAACCCGGCCACGGGAGGACCGTTCCGTTTCTGCACACTTCCGCCCGGCAACGGCGAAGCGAGAAGAAAGGTTCCGACCTGCGCCCAGATCCTGCGGCTGGAGAAGAAAGGTTCCTGCCTCGGCCTGAGCCCGCGCGCTGGCGCACCTTCCTCCTCCTGCGAACCTCGGGTGGCCTGGCCGCGCACAGACTTCCGTGTGCCCCGGGAGCGAGAGGACCGGGGAGCCGAAAGGCCCGCTCCCTTGTCGTGGTCCCCTGACTGACAAACTGAGCCCAGGCGCTTCGGTTGCGGGCATGCGGAGGAGCGCCACCCTTGACCTTTGACTTCAGGGACTCACCTGAGCAGGACAGAGGCAGCGAGCGACGACATCCGGCTGCAGGGAGAGCTTGGACCGTGCGGGTGTCCAAGAACCAGCCGCTTCTGCAAAACGAAGCCAGCACCTTCCTCCGAGTTTACTGAGAATAAAATGGGAAGACGCGTGTCGAGTGTTTCTAGACTCCTAGTCAGTGTGGCCGGCTACGTTAGCCACCGCGTTGGTGATGTCATTGTTCTCAGGCTCATTACTTACGGTGAGGCAGAGACTGTACAGAAGGCATCCCTGAGCGGAGAGCTGGGGATGAGTAGAAATTTAACCGACGCAAAAAAAAAAAAAAGTGATAACTCCCTGGTGTTCATCCCTGCTATATCGGTTTTAAATGTACCATCTTGAGTTATCGTTGTTTAAAATTGAATACAGTTTAGCCAATTAGGTTTCCCTGCATTTTTGGTTCATGGTTCAGTTTTAATTCAAGATCTCGTTGAGTCCAAGGTTTATTGTTTATGTTTTCCTTGGCCTTAAAGAGGAGGCACAACTGGAATGTGCATTAAAACTGGTTTTAATGGTCAACAAGATTAAGTTATTTTCCTAATAATACTAAGATGCTATTTGCCTTTTCACTCTCATTTTCTCAGGAGTTGTGTAGCTGTGCTTTCCAGACTTTGATCTTTCAACAGACTAAATGCAGACCAGCTGTCTTCTATTAAGCCAGATTTCAGAGAGATTTGCAGAAATACAAATACCATTTTTCTTACCAATTTTTGTTGTTTTGGAAAATGTATTTTTTCAGAAAAAGATATCATTTATGTTGATATGTAATAGACATTGATTTTAGATGAATAAAGACCTAAGTTTTTTATTTTATTTCAATATGATACATATCAATAGATAAAATCCATATAAACAAAAGTTGCTTAGGACCCTGAATAATTTTTGAATGTAAAGGAGTTCTGAGATCAAAACATTGAGAGCCAGTCTATTAAACAAATAAGTTTATAAGAAATAGATGTCAAGAAAGTATACATTTACCAGCAAGGAGGAAGAAAAGGAATATTAAAATCCAGATTGCAGTCTCTTGGTCCTAACTGTATGAAGAAAATAAATTTCCATATGGCTTTCTTCCATCTATGAGAAAGAGAGAGTAAGAAAGAAATTACAAAATCTCTGCCAACAAGGATTCTGTCTTGCATAAATGGCCCTTTGTTTTGTGGAGACATTAATGAGTCTTTGGCTATGCAAAGGTAGGCCTGAGGCAGAGTTGAAGGAAAGAGAGTTAAATTGCTCTGCATAATAAACTGAGGGGGATTGAATTAGGGGAAAGCCGGGAAGCCAGACCCAAAGAGTGGGCCAGGAAAGTAGAAACTAGGTAATCGGAGGGGACTTTGGGAGGAAGACTGAGCTCCACCAAACCTGCCTTGTGAGTGGTGCCTTGTGTGAATAGTGTATTGTGTGGTACGATTTTGGGGCAGAAAGGTAGGGACAAATATTTAAGTGAATAAAAACATAGAAGATAATGGTAGAAATGAGACACAAGTGCGCTCAAAACAGCAGATTATAAAATTTACAGATTACTTGAGGTTTCAAGTGACCATAAGTACACAAGATTTCCTAGAAAGTGCACAAACTAAAGGCCTCTTGTCCTGACCAACTGGCTTGTTCCACTCTGCTTTCTATTCTCCCGCTCTGCAGTGAGCCAGATGTTGTCCCCTCCAGAGATCTTCAACCTCTAGGTTCCTAGAACACGTGAATGTTAACATACTTGCATATGTAACAGTCAAGGTTCTTGCAATAAGCAGATGATCCAGGATTACCCAAGTGAGCCTTAAATCCAATAAGTGTCCTTATGAGATAAGAATTTGAGGATATAGAAAAAGGTAGATTGAGTTTCACAAGAAAAGTACCCATGTGTGTTGGAATGCAGGAAATGCCTATGAACCTCTGAAATGCAAAACAAGTGTTCCTGAGCCACCCAGCTCCTGCCCTTGGCCTGAAATCTTGACCCATGCTCTTGCTCACATAAAGTAATGAGTGAGCCTATGGAGGTGCACACCTGTAATCCGAGCAGCTCTGGAGGCTGATGCGGGAGGATCTCAGAGGATCTCAAGTTTGAGGCCAGCCTCAGCTTAGCAAGGCCCTGTCTCAAAATAAAAACGGTTATGGATTTGGCTCATTGGTAGTGCCCCTGAATTCAATCCCCGTACCAAAAAAAAAAAGTAACTTGAGAACAATGAGCAAGTGGAAAAACTGGCAAAAAATTGTGTGATCCACCCTGACTCCTCCTGTAGTTCAGCCCTAGCAACTGTCCCTCTATAAATAACACCCTACACCAAGGGGTGGCTAGCTCTCCCTTTGGAGATGGCCCATGTTCTCTCTTGACTCTATATTCCTTGCTTTACCCCCAAAAGTTTCTCACTGTCAAGGTGGCCGTCATTCTCCCTTGAATGTGTATTTCTTTTTAAAAATATTTTTTATTTGTTATTGATGTACCTTTATTTATTTATTTGCTTAAATGTGGTGCTGAGAATCTAACCCAGGGCCTCACACATGCTAGGCAAGCGCTCTACCACTGAGCCCCAGCCCCAGCCCTTGAATGCATATTTCTTTATCCCCCCAAATGTCTCTTTCCTGAGTTAGCCTACATTCTCCCTAGAATGTGTCTTCATAAATAAATCGGTGTCTCCAACTGACATGTGCTTAAATCTTCTTTTCTCCTGTATGCCAAGGACCCCACTTGTCCCAAGTCAAGGTCCCCCTCTCTGGGACTTCTCGTAACACTTAGAACAGAGAAGAGAAGTTCCTGTGCAGACACCCAGATATTGCTGACAACCACCGGAAGCTGGAGGAAGCAAGGGACATTTCTCCCGCTAGAGCCTCTGAAGGAAACATACCCCTGCCAACACTTTGATCTCAGACTTCACCCTCCAGGACTGTGAGAAATAAACTTCTGTTGTTTTAACTCACAAAGTTCGTTGTCATCTGGAAACTGCAGGAAACTAATGCACACCATAATTCCCTTCCCCTCCCATCCTTCCTTCTCAGATGGGCCTTCAGTTGGTCCTCAATCCCTGTATGGGCTCGTATTACCTTCACAAAGCCAGCTTTACGGCCTGTATCTTTCTGGGTGTTGATCAAGTTCTTCAGCTGCTCTTCCTCTTGTTCTTTCCTGCCCCATCTCTTTGGTATCCCCACTATCCTTCATCCTTGGAGAATCATATCTGACCAGATATGATTCTCATATCAGAGCATATCTCCCTTATGCTCTATAGAAGGCCAGAGACAAGAATGAGCTGGAACTGACCAAAAAGAGTGCCAACAAGAGCTCCTTTAATGAAATCTGCATCAAGAAGGATGTCCAGTGGCCACTGTCCATGCAGCAAATGCTGCCCTGTTACTCAGAAAGGGGGAGTTACTCAGAAAGGGGGAGGTACTCCGCTCTTGTTTCCAGCTTTCCTCATAAGCAGCTATTCAAGTGCAAAAGGTGGGAGGGAACTTGTCCATCTGGAAAGGTGCTCCACTTTGAGACGTTCAAGTGCTGGAAAAGAAAGCAGATGCTTGCCACACAGCCAAAGCCACCCTGGGTGTCAGTGAATGACAAGGTCCCACCAGAACCCGGTGGCTCAGAAAGCAAGCCAATTCCAAAGAAGGCACAGGATGAGAGAATAAGGAGCCACTTGACAGTAAGAGTCTCACAAAGGGACAAAACAGATCCCAAGCTTTGAGGATTCTCCTTCTGTCTTCCTGAGTCGATGTGACTAAATTTCAAGAGATGGAAAGAGCAAAGTTGGCAGGCATAATCTATGGTTTGAATTCTGCCAATCACATATCAGGTAATCACCATAGGAGCTTGACTTGTTCAGAAAATTATCTTAAGACACGACCTGTGTGGTGAGACACAAGAGTGAACTGACCTGTTTTCAGGTAGCATTTCCTGTTATCAGCAGTGGCCTTGAGAAATAACCCCTCCTCCAATTCTAGGAACTCCTATTATCACCTGCTACCACATGTCTTCAGGAGCACCAAGCCCAGCAAGGACAGGGAGCTCAGGGTACTGTGCATACCGCTTGGCACTCCCTGAGAGTCAAGCTCTGACAGCCATCTCTCTCTGAGCAGTGACACTCACAACCAGCAGGGTGGTCCTGGGCTCTACTAAAGTGGAAGCTGAGAGTCACAACTTAGGAATTGCCAGTCTAGACAGCGGGCAAAGACCAAGACCCAAAGGAAGTTGAGCATCCAGAGCCTGCTGGCACCCACTCCCCAGAAGCCACGCAGATGTGGGCATGGGGAAGCCAAAGCCCTCTGGAGACAGAAAGGGAAGCCATTGCTCCACGTGGCCAGCTGCTTCTGGTCTGTAGTCTCTGGACACTGAGGCCCCTGTGGCTTCAACTGGATCATACATTGGCTTTTCTCTTCTGTGAGAAATGTTTAAAGATTATCTAAGTGACATTTATCAGACCTTTGAGCTCTTTCTATTAAAACAGAAGACCAGAAAGCAATTACTAGAGGATGACTAATGAGACCAAACCCACACAAAACACAGCAGTTGGAATGAAAAGCCTCGGGTTTGAATTCCACCCTTCCTATTCACCATGACTTTGGGCAAATGACTTCATCTCCTGGAGTCTCTGTCCAAAAAATGCAGCAATGCCGATTACACTCCTGATTCCCGTGAGCAGGGGCTTCCTTCCCTGGACACCCTTGGCATCTCC